GAGTATTTTTGAGAACGGCGCATCTAAACTTTTTTTCGTTAGTTACGCTCTGAAAAACGTATTTGAAAATTTTCAATGCAATTCTTTTGATTCTTGTTTAATGGCTTTATAACTGCGAAGTGTAGTTGTAACAGAATTTTGAATGTAACTTAAGTTGTTTCAGCTAATTTTCCAGATATTTCGTTCATCTATCTACATAAATAAAGCAGAATGTTTATATGCATGTGTGTGCATCTTATAAGAATACGCAATTTTAAACCAGTCATAAAATGCTTCGATCACAGGCTCGCACGCAACATTCCAAAGAACAAAATTTTCATAGGATCTTTAAATATTTTATAATGAGTGATTTGATAGCTTGCTGCTCTAATCAATCAAAACTTAGTTTTATTGCACGTTCTTATACACTGGTGGACAAAATTAAGAGATGGAAGACATTTTCCCAAATATCTCAAAAAATACTGAATATAAATAAATGAAATTTGGTATGGATATAGCTTATTCCATGATAATAAAGCATGCAAAACAAAACTGAAAGTACCATTCACTGGCAAGACCTATTGCCAATAAATCCAATGTAGTCTGAACTTAAGGATAAAAGATGACTATAAAAGTGAGGCTTGTACAGTGTGTGTTGCCTCTAGTATGGTGTATGGTTACCCCTGACAGACAGCATGCACAACGAGTATGCATGCTGTTAATAAGGAAGTTAAGGAGGACTTGTGGAAGACCCTCCCATTCTTCAGATTCCAAGCATGTTCAATAGGATTCATGTCAGGGGATTTGGCTGGCCAATTCATTCGTTGAATATCTTTGCTTTCCTGATACTCATCAACCATGAGAGCCCTATGTGGTCGCGCATTGTCGTCCATAAAAATAAACTCAGGGCCAACAGCGCCCCTGAAAAGACGCACATAGGGCTCTAGGACCTCCTGCCTGTACCTCTGGGCATTCACGAAACCATTGTCACATGCAGCGGTGTGCGGGTATCTTGCATGTGCGAAAATGCTTTCCATCTCTTAGTTTTGTCCACCAGTGTAGATTAACTTCGGTTTCCTAATGATAGGTTTTCACAAGTAAAACCAGCGTTAAGAATTTCGCAACGTATGTGAATGACGTCACAGAATTCAAATTTTAAACGGTATATGAAACTACGAGTTTCTTTTATGGATACTTACTTTTAAAAAGTGTTTCTGTGAACTTAAGCAGTAGAAACTTAATAAGAACGAACGAAATAAAATTAAATTTATCTATTAAGGCATGGAAAAATTATGTTAAATTCTTAATATCACATTTTAAGAGACGTATAGTTAATCTCTCTTTTAGTGAGATAATATTGTAACTCAGATTATGCTGAATCTAATCGTATGAAGCAGCACTAGAATATCCAGCAAATAGTAATAAAAAATAAAGGGTCTATATTAGGTGCATGAATGTGAAGGAACGTGATATTAGGACACTTATTTGTTTCAGAAGGGTACCTATATTATGTACCTCAGTATAATAGGTTAAAACAGTACTTATAAAGGCAATACTAGAAATATTTAATGCCTCATATAATTAAGCATTACTGGCGTTAATAATAGTTTGGCAATTTCTTATGACAGGTAGGTACCGATAATAGTTCATTCGCCGAAAATGATTATAAGGATATTAAAGTTGTTATTTTAGAGAATTACAATTTACTAACTTTGGGTTATAGGTTCAAGCTGGAAAAAATTTTTTTTTAATTAAAATTAATGGGGAAAAGGTGCTTTGTCTAGAAAAAGCATACAGTCTTATTTTTATTGAATCCAATGATGCTTTATTAATTTTAGTAATGGGTACTACTGCTATTATGTTAATTGGTGTTTCTTTTTTTTTAATGAGTACTGATTATACTAATATTGGTGCCAAAAAATCTCTGTGGAAATAGGTTTTTACGGCCCAACGAAAGGGATATGATAACATAAAGCCAGCGAGATGCGCAACAAACAATGATAAATTTGAATTGTTTTAGCTTTATTAATTTTGCCGGTTGTTTCAGTTTTTTACATATCGTTTTGTTGATTAATACTGATTTATTGACAATTTGCCTTTTTTTTTTTACCCCTTTTACGAAGAACGGGCATTCAGCTAGTTTTAAGTAAAGTTTATCTTTAATAAATGGGTGGCATGAATTATAAAATTTTTAAAGAAAGCAAATGAAAGCTTATTTTGAATAACAATGTGAAATAAACCGGAAAAAAATAAAAAATATTTAAAAAAAAAGTAATATATATTTTTTTATTATTATTAGAGAAGTGCTTTTAGGTTTGGTGCTTTAAATTGTAATAATTTCTTTACTGAACTGAACATAGACAAAGGTTAATGAACATAAACTATTTATTTTTACATTTTCATGAATAATTTAATGTAATTTTTCCAAAATAAAGCATTTAGGAAATTAATTTTAAAAAAAATATGTCTAGAATCGATACTGAAAAATATATGATACGAGAGTTAAAAAGAAATGCAAATATTTTTTGGGGGGACATAATAAATTATTAACTACTCTTTAACACTACTCTCCAAAATCCTTCCTAAATGAAATGTGTGTCACGGTATTCAGAACACGCGATGCGAAGTCACTGTCACTGTTTACTAATTCCTCTGTTTTGACAAGTTGTCATGAAAGAGACACATGTTGAGAAAATTAAATCCAATCGATGGATCAAGGCTAAAAAAGCATAATCTGTATTCTGAAGGTTTCTCGAATTCTGGCTTTCTTTTATCTGTTATTTGTTTTAAGCTCCTTTCCATTGTTCATAGGTTGTATGACAAAGTAAACAACAAATGCTCTCGTTGTTAAGTTGAGTTGACCCTAAGATAGCAGATTTTTATATCGTTTTCTTCTATCAAAGTTTATTTTTATTTTATTTGATTCATTTTTGAAATACAACTGGCTCGGTAAATCAACATTTACGAAAAAATGAATAAAATAAATGGACATAATCTTCTTACCCTTTACCTATTTTCTTTATTTTTCTTATTAATTTAAACTATTCTTTTTTAAAAGAATAAGACAATATCTGGTGTTCTTTTTAGAAATTATTACAGTTATCAAAATAGAATTTTGGATTAAAATGTAAAATCCGTTAATTTTTCATTTCCTCTACTTTGAAGTAAAAATATACCCATAAAGTGTTTTGAAATCAAGGGACTACTAATTGTACTAATAACAAATTTTTGTTTCTATATTATTTATTTTTTGCAGAAGTGTGTGGTACTGTGTAGAAATAATTTGAATTTCAGAGCATTTTTCAAAAAATTACTTTTTCTTTTTTGAATTTCTTAGCTGCAATATAATGTTTCCTTTTCTCTTTCACGAAAAATGAAATCACTACTTAACTCTTTGAATTATTAAAAAAAATTCTATAAATGTTTTATTTTTAATGTTAAATTTGGTTTAATTTTTATATTTAACTAAAGTAAAACAAATTATTGAAAAGTGAGTAATAAGATACTACTCTTATAGTGTTTTGAAATGACGAGTACTTTCTTCCGCTGCAACATGCATCCCAGAAAATGTTTAAAAGTTACTACTGATTCAACAACTTCAAAATATACATGTTCATATTTATTACTCCACGTTTATTAGTGTTAACTTTAGGTGGTGTGATTTTCTTAATGATCAAATTGCAATTACAGTTCTTGAAAACTTGCCCGAAAATATTTAACTTTCTACTAATAAATAATATTGTACTTTTCAGAAAATATTTTTAAAATGCCAGTGATTTCTATTAATAAAAACAACCCATACAATCTTTTTTTTTTTTTTTTTTTTAAATATTTTCAGGAAAAATGTCAGCACAAATACTAAAATAATTTTAGATTTTTTTTCCCTTAAAATTTTTTTTTATTAACTATTCACAACGATAAAATAAAATGAATATAGTTGTATTTTTCTATTAAATTAAAGGAAAATAACTTGATCTAAAATGCCCAGTTTTTAAAAAGTAAAAAAAAAAAAAAAAAAAAATTTTTTTTCACAGTGTACATCCAGACGACGATTAGAGTTATTTTAATTTGAATTTGTTGCTATTTTTAAATTTATCATTACTTTTAATATATTTTTATAAAATGTATTGCTATTTTTAATTTAAACATAAATTTTTTAAGTTGTAAATATTTGGTTAAAAAAAAATAATTTATAATGATCGTAAGTTTAACAATGAAGTCTCATTAAAATTTAAATGTGTTTTGCGCTTTAGAAAAGATAATAAAAATATTTTTTAGGTAATACTTTTTTTTTACCTTAGAATAATTTTCACTTTTACTACATAAAAAGAACCTTTTTCTTATTTAGCATTCGTTTCTTTTGAAGTTTCTAACTGGTAGCTGTTTCAAGTTTTTTCGATTGTTTTTGTTTTCTTTATTTCCATGTCCAGGTCTAAAAGTTAATCAAATTAGTAAAGCAGCATATATTTTAGTTAATATACTACAATAATAAGTTTTTACAGGAAATCTCACATTGTTTTAATAGTTTTTATAGTGTAGATAGGTTTTAATAGTTTTTTTGACAGTTTGTCATACAACTATTTTACGAATTTACCTACTTTCAACTTTTTTTTAAACTTCATTTGATTTCGCAAAATTTAAGTCCTTACTGTTGTAGTCCTTACTGTTACAATTATTTTTACATTATTAAAATTTTGTAACTTCGGCATTAATGGGTAATTAGTTCAGGTGCCATCTGTTGGCATTAATTTGAATTGAGAGGAATATTAGGGTCGCAACAATGGGTTTAATTATGTTTCTTGTCAAAAATGCTAGAGATACATACATTCAAAGAATACGAAATAATGTTTTTCACATTTTCAGTAATTTTTTCAGCTTGTTTCGAACTCAAATGTTTACTTGTCAAATAACCATTATATTCGTTTAGCTTAAATGAAAACATACAATTCATGTATTGATTCATTTATAAAATGTTTCACATAAATCTACATACAAATTAAATTCTTTTTTTTCATTTTTAGCCCCGTGACGAGTCTCCTCTTAAAAATGGAACTAACGGCACCACTACTGCAAGAGCTTCATCCCCAATCAAGAAACCAGTCAGGGTATCAACACAGACTATCGTGCAACCTAAACCTAAACCAAAAGCTCAGGTTAGTATTAAATGTGGTTACTAATAATTAGATATTTCTAAAGCACGCGTTAGTATTAAATTTGGTTATTAAATTATTCATAAATATTTCAAAACCCTAGATTAGTTCTAAGTTTGCTTACTAACTCTTGGAAATATCAAAGGCTCAGGTTAATACCAATGGTTCCTAGTTGTTAGAATTTCAAAATCCCTTTGTACTGCGCATTTTTCAATTAATTGGGCACTTGCAACCCGAGAAGACGATCACTGATACCCAGACATGTGACCTATCACCTTAGCGGCAGCTGATTGTAAATAAACAAGAGGGAGTGTTAAAGTCGATCTAAGTTTCTCCACATAAATTAGAATGTTAATTAACATGAAGTTAATTAAAGACACTGTCATATCATTTGTTACAATATAATTCTTTCTCGCCTATGTCTCTTACTTAACTTAGATTTATTATTTGTTTATGTATTTTATAGTAACCGTAATATATTTTTGTTCTGTGTACCTTGCACTTTCATTACCTATTTAGTTTGTTCCACATGGATTTGTGTTAAGTAATAAATATAAAGTAAAATGATTGAAATCTTTGTGGAAGAATCTTTATGAGAGAATATAGAATGTGTCACTTATGAGAGTTAATACTTGAGGGCTTGGCTTACTATAAATACAACGGAAAGAACAGTTGATAACGTAAACAATTGCCGCGTTTCAACAACCAATTAGGATCGACATACCCACTCTACGTCGCTTGCAGGTATCCCATTGTTCAGCATGTCAAAAGTGCAAGTTAATACTAATTGTGGTTACTTTTTGTTTGATTTATGTCAAAAGACAAATTCATACAAGATAATGACTTGAGTTTCCACTCGATTTTTGTCATTATCTTGAAAATTTTAGTAATAACAGTAAGACAGCCTGATCTGTGCTTGAGTTAATAATATCCGAAATTTTTAGTAGAAAAATATTCTCAATGTAAATGTTTTCATGCGTAAATGTTTATTTTATATTTAAACTCTAGTATGCATTAAAAAAAAAATTTATAAAATAATTTATATGTATAAATATTTATATTTTTTGTTGGACCTTCGGAAAATACCATCAAACCGTGGTGGTTTTGTTCATGTTGGTCCAACATAAAGTTGTTCCATTTCCTAATATGAGGTGATGGTCAGTCTTGCTCGTACCATCATAAAATATGATGGTTTTTGATGGAAGGTGATGATGGTTACCATCTTATTCATGTTGGTCCATCAAAGAAAAACCATCATAAATTTTGTCTTGGGAGTAAATAGGATAAAAATTTTTACTAAAATGCTAAATATATTTTTCTACTGAGAAAAATGTAAAAGTGCAGTGGCACTTTTACCAAGCTTAAAATTCAGACTAACTCAAATTTTTGTTTTATTTCTTTTTATTAAAATAAGATTGCTTTTTTAGTCCCCAATTCACACAGTTTGGGGTGAACTGATCAAAAAAAAAACTTTCTAGTATAGCCATCATGAGAGTAGTAGTAAATAGGTAATTACATATAATGAAATAAATTGATGTAGTTACTTAATAGTTAATAGTTTTCCAAATGTGAATTCAACATTCAAAAAATCTTTCGATATTTTTTTTTTTTTTGTAAAGGTTTGGTGTTGGGGCAGGTGCTGCCTACATTAAAACTATTAAGATGAACCGGGAACATTTTGGAAAACTAATCCTTTAAACTGCTTATCGAGAGAACTTTTTTTTAGCTTAAAAATTTTCGCGCATTTTAAAAATTTAGAAACTAGTACAATACCATGATATTTGCTTTCAAATAAATATCGGACATCATATCCGTTGCTGTATATCAACAATTTCGTGTTTGAGACTTAAAAAGCACTCTTAATTTTATTTTTATCAAAAATCTGAGAGAATTTAGCATATGCGACTTCATCTTGATATGGTAAATTATCGTTTTTAACTGTTCGGAGGTATTTGAACTTTAATTTGCATCTTGTTTAACGTACTTTTGATACAAAGAAAATATCAAGTATATAAAGAAAAAATTTATTAATATATTATTATTAATTGAACATAATTCTAATGTTAACCCCTTCCTTCTTGCTCCCGTGAAAATGACGGGGTGAGGTTTTGCCCTCTATTTCTCACTCCCGTGATATTGACGGGCTGGAGTGTTCAGTAGTAACGAACCAATAAGAATAAAACTAAGTAATTTTTTTTGACCGGAAAACATTTTATTTCTCATTTTACACACCAGATGGCACAGTACCAGGATATTTTTAAGGTAATTGTAGATAGTTAGTTTATTTTAAACTAGATGTCAGCACTAATCAAATACGTGTATGTGGCAAAATAGGCACTTTTATGACCTTTTTTTTTGAAAATTGACCGATCGCTAAGGAGTTAATTACATAATTTAAGTTAATTGCAATTAAATCATTCATAAATAGGACAACAATAAAGTGAGTAAAAAATGTTTTTGCAGCTATAAATGCGGCATTGGATTCTGAATTGCCATGCTGATAATACAGCAGCATTTCTTTTAATAAATTAAGTCTCATAATTTGCATTTTATAAAACCATTTATAAAAGTTGATATGTATTTTTCCTTCAGGTTGCTCCCTCTTCTTTTGTAAAGAAAACAAATCCCATACCTTCCAAACCTAGAAATTCATTAGGCAATGCCAATCAAAGTAACGAACTGCCCAGGAAACCTCCCGGTCCTGGTCAAGAACAATGCAACGTGTGCGGACGGAACTTCAACAAGGACAGAATTGAGAAACACAGAAGCATTTGTAAGAAGGCAGCATCCAAGAAGGTGAAAGTCTTTGATGCCACCAAGATGCGTGTCAAAGGCACAGAAGCAGAGCAGTTCGTCAAGAAAGGATTACCCAAAGCGGAACCCAAGGTATGATTCATTTCCCCCCTCTAAACTCGCGAAAAAATAAGTAAATAAATCTTAGGGGTCGTTCAAATTTTAAGTAATTTGTATTTTTTCTTCTTTTTTTTCAAAATTACTTTGTTTTAGCTAGCAATCTACAAAAGATTCTTTTTTCGATAAAGGGAATTTTAGTGTCTCGCGTAAGCGTTATTCATGACTACTTTTCCCCCTATCAGCAAAACTAATCAAATCACATAGTCCTTAGATCAGGGATGGGCAAACTACGGCTCACGGGCCAACTGTAGCCCTGCGGAAGATTTTATCTGGCCCGCGGATAGAATTTTAACTTGTCGATCCGTGGCGAATGTAAACAATATACATTATACAAGTACCGATGACCTTTTTCTCTATTTTTGCTTTACAAAACATAAATTGATGGACGTAGACAGCTTCTATTGGTAAAATACAGCTTCAATTGGGGTCAGATTTGTGGCTTGAGTTAAAATCTAACGATCACCTGAAGCAGTTTCTAAATATGCCAAAGTTTGAGTTTTGCAAAACATTCCCAAAAGCTATAGTTTCCAAAATTTAACATCTCATGCCAGAAAATCAGTTATATGTTTGCTTCATCTTATATATGTGAACAAGTGTTTTCAACTATGAACCTTAGAAAAAATCATTTCAGAAGTAGACTAACAGACAAGCATTTCATCTCGTTCCTTAAAATAAGCACATCTCACTTCGAACCTCAATGTAAGGAACTTTTAAAAATGAAATCGCAATTTTATTCATCTCATTAAATATTTAAATTAAAACTTGTATATCGTTTATCTTTTTATTTTAGAAGTTTTTACTCGGTCCACCAAACTTTTTCTTCCCTCGATTTTTTGCTTTCGACCAAAAAAGTTTCCCCGTCATTGCCTTCCTTAGATTTACATCATATTTGAAGGAAAAGATGTTTAACACTAAAATGAAGTTTTGTAGCGTAGCATAGTTGAGTGGGTGGTAGGAGGAAGGGAGCGTAACATATTTAAGCTGGTGAATTTTTTATGAACCTAACTCAGGCCTGCAATTTGTGTGGATATTTTTTTTATCGTTTCTTTGATTGTCTTGACGAAACATCTCAGAGAGTTAATATTCTTCAGGTATATGCATGTTTCCGGACTACGAGACATACTGCTAATATGTCCTCCTTTAGTTGTGTTTGTTTCTCTATTTTCGGTTTTATTTTTTCGTCAGAATTGTTTTATACCATCGTTTGATTTGGTTGCCTTGTGTTCGTATTGCAGGTTTTAGCTTCGCGCAGTTTTACCGTATTTGTCTCTAGTGCCATTAAACTTTGCCTTAATAAATCACCAAAAAATTTTATTTCCTTTTGAAAATTAAAAAAAGCATTTTTCTCTGATATCAAGGGAATTGTTTGAGATTTTTTTAAAAAAGAAAAGAATGATTACGATTACTTACGAATAAAAAAAAATTGGTTTTATTTAAATAGAATTGTTTATCCTATTAATAAATGTTACAACCGGACTAATAACCCTTTTCGAAAGAAGTTTAGGGTATGATAAATGTATGGAAGTGAGTTGCGAGGAGTTTAAACTCCTGTTTAATAAAGTTTAGTCAAAGTACTTTATAAACACAGAAGTTTGTCTATGTACAGCTACCTTAAAAACTTGATACGAAAAAGTGTTAAATCATAAAATTTTTTAAAAAGTAGATTTAATATTATTATGCGTCGGAGCAAAGCCCAAGGACTATAATTTTCTATGAGCGAATAAGTAGAGTTGAGCATTGGCAACATTAAAATAGTCAGCAGGAGAAAATTGTCTAAATGTTGAGAATAGATCTCGGAGGGTCTTCGAAAGTTTTTCCTTTTTTTTTTTCGTGTAGTGATTGGGTATATTCAGTGTATTGGATATTCCGTGTATTGGGTAGCTTTTGTCTGCTTTCTATATTTTGCCGTACAGTCAAATTTTAGGATTGTATCATTTGATATAGTTTTCAAATTCTCTCTATTCTTTATCATTTCTTGTTTCAAACTACCTCTCGTTCCTCCTCAACTAAAATAAATAATTAAACTGGATTATTTCTTCTTTTAAAAGCAGTCAGATTTTATTTAGCACCTCATATTTTTAAATATCACTTTTTAAAAATTACCTTTTGATCCTGCCAAAATATATAAATTTAAAGTTGGCTATTTTGTTTTAATATTGAAAGCAGTGAGATTTGAAGCATTTAACATCCCTTATCCTCTTAGATCCAGCATTATTGGACTTTGGTATAATTTTATCACTTATATAATAATATTTTACGATGTTTTCTGCTTGTATGCCTTGATAAAGCGATTGTCTTTGTAAAAATATAATTAGTTTAACTTTATTTAGTCCTAATTTTTGATTAAAATGCAAAAAATGGTAGATGTTTGATTCAAGCTTTTGGACAGTTTCATAGCAAATAAATATCTTATTGAGTCTAGTGGATTCTGTTTCATGACCGAAATGTGAAGGAATACATTATAAGAGTGTCCTACAACATGTTAAAACGTTGAATGCCACGCTAATTTTACATGGCTTGCCCGTCGGGCCACAATGTAAATAACTACAAACTAAATTTGCAAATATTAGACAGATTTTACTAGTTTTTTAAATGATTTAGCTTGACATATCTGAAAAAAAGTGGTGAATTATATAAGCCTACAAATTGTTTATAAATAGTGGTGCATAAAAATCTACTGAATTGAATTTATTAAACCAAGAATCACAATTATTAGACTACCACTTGAAAATATTTTATCGCTGTCCGGAGCAAGTTGGCATCTCTATGTAAATAAATAAAACTATTTTTGTGTGTTCTATATTGCATTAATTTCTTCAAACCATTTTAGTAACGATAATAATGTTAAAAAAAAAGTAAAATTTTACTCGAATTATGTGTTTCTAATAATCTTGGCTTCACCGATCACCGGTGACCCCTGTGGCGCTATGAACAAACTCAGTGCCGGTCACTGGTGACCTGCATGGCATTCAACGTGTTAAAAATGCTAACAAGTCGAACTTATAATTTTTTAATGCAATAATTAAAAATAATTGAGTTTAATTGAGATTTTTAAAAGATTTTTATTTCATTTGAGTTTTGTTTCTTCTAAACTTGCATAAGTAAAAATCGTAATTTCTAACATTTTTAAAATTTTTTTTGAAGATTCGGGTGTCAGTAAGATCTGATTTTTAAATTCCGCATACTAAGACTTATCTTGTTTCTTCCAGCCAAAAAAATCAAATTGGCGCAAGCAGCATGGAGAGTTCATTGAAGCTATCAGGCAAGCGAAAATGGTGCAACAACACTTGGCCAAGGGTGGAAAAGTGAGTGACCTACCACCCCCGCCACCTTCAGATAACTCCGACTACGTTCCTTGCCCTTACTGTGGACGAAAATTTAATGAAGGTGTTGCTCAGAGGCACATCCCTAAATGTAAGAACATTCTATCGAATAAAAAGAATTCCAATGCAAGAAAATGATTGGGGGAAAAAAATGTGTGATGCTTGATTTACATGCATTTTTTATTTACTGGATTTTTAGTGCTTCCTATGTTTTCTTATTTGATAAGAATATGCAATTTGTACTGTTTTTATTCTCGAATTTTTAATTTTTAAGATTTTGGTGTGTAATGTTTTAACGTTAATCACGAATGTTTTTAAAGTTTTTAAATTAATCAGTTAATGTAATTTATAATCCAATTTATCGTGCTCGCAGATCAAAATTAAAGTTTTATTTTTACATAGTTACTAAATTTTAAAGTTCGAAATGAATTTTTTAACATTAAGTAATAAAATTAATAACAGTAAAAACAAATATAAAATTAAGTATTAAATTCCTACTGCATAACTACTGCCTATTATGTATTAAAATTTATTGACTGTTCAAGTAAAAATAAATTTATATAAAAGTGATTGGTACTCTCCCATAATTGAGTTTATATTATATATTAAATATTTAATTGATAATGTATAGGAAATATAATGCAATTGTATATTATCAATCGAGGGCAAAAATACAGCTTATAAGTTTTTAATAAGACCTTGAATGTATAATTTACATCAAATGAGAAGAATATTTGCTCTATTTGATTGATTTTAAACAAAAAAAATTGTACATTCACCGGGAAAAATTTCTCAACAGTTTTGTAATAAATTATTTATTTGTCAAAAAAATTATCTATATTATAGTTATAAATTTAAATTGCTATGTTTAAATTAGTGTCTTGTCTGCAAGTGTGGTAATAATTTTAACTTGTAGAGAATTAATTTTATACAATGAATTAATTGCAATGTACTATTGTATTTTATATAACCTATCATCTCTAGGTTATCTCTTCAATGTGTTGAGATGATCTGTAGACTTAAATGTGAGCATAAGTGTTAATTTTAGTTTGTGAACTGTTTTTCAATATTTGAAAAAATCTCTTTAATGTCTGCTTTGCTTATTTAACCAAAAATAATTATATATTCTTAGTTTTGTGAAGCATTATAACAAATCCAGGACTTGCTTTTTTATGTCTGTGTGAAATACTTGAGTTAAAACATTTACAACCGCTTTTATTTGTTGAGCAAATAAATATTTCCTGTATATAAAATTATCGTATCTCCCATGTTATGTGTGTTAAGTTCCTGAAGGTGAATTTGTGTAAAATGAACAGGTGTGGTGATATTTGTGATAAATGATTTTTTTTCCAAATAAATATTTGTTTTACATTTTATGCACTGTAAACTCAGTGTAAAATCTGAACTAAATCTTTGTATGTGGTCTTTTGTACGCTGCCAAGTTAATAATCCTATCTTGTAAGAAAATTTAATAAATTAACTTTTTACTAAAATTTTTTCTTTATTTTTCATAAGCAGTTTCAAGATATTAGAGTATTAATTATCTATTTTTACGGTATTTTTTCATACAGCCAATCAGGTATAAAAAATAATGAAAAGTAAATTAAGTTTCGTTTCAAAAAAACTAAAATAAGATAATTTTTGAGTAATTTCTTTTACAATAGTTGTAAGTTGATAAAATGTCAAAGCTAATTTAACATATCTAAAAGCTCATATAAAGGGGATAGATTTTTAACATTTTTATTATTTAATATTCTTTGTTCCTATACTTTAACTTTGAGAAAACCTAGTCTGTTGTTATTTTTTGACTCATTTTGAAAGACAGTCTTTTCAAATCTACTTAAAATAAATTTTTAACTATCGTTGATTATTATTAAATTTCAAAAAAATTAAAGCAATCGTGATTTTTAGCATGGTCTATTTTTTAATCCTTTAAATTTATTGAAAATTTCTACTGACCAATGATTTTATATTTGAACTTTGTTTAATTTTTTTTTAATGAAATTAGCCATTTCGTAAAATGAGATAAATTAAACTTAACTCAAAAACTAATAAAAATAACTTTTAAACAAATTATTTTAAAAATTACAATTTTGCGTAAAACAATTGTTATAATTATTGTTATATAATACAATTGTTTTATTACTGTACAAAAAAAAGCTATCAAAATAATTTGTAAAATATTCGAAAATAGTTTGAATTTTGAGAAGAAAAAAAACTTCCGTTACGCCAAACTTCAAAGAAATAAACGTTACTTCAAACTTCCAAGAGTAAAACTTGCTTGCGCAGAACAGCAGGCAAAGTATCCTTTTTACAATATAATTGGTCAACAATTTTTTACGTAGAACAACAGGCAAAGTATCATTTTCACAATAAAATTGGTTAGTTATCTTTTATACAGAACAGCAGGTAAAGTGTCATTTTTACTATAAAATTTATTAGCAATTTTTTCGGTAGAACAGCAGATAAAGTATCAATTTCACTATGAAATTTATTAGTAATTTTTTAGGTAGAACATTTGGAAAAGTATCAATTTCACTATGACATTTATTAGTAATTTTTTATGTGGATCAGCATGTAAAATAACATTTTCGCTATAAAATTATAAACTTTTTTTCATCAATAAATTGCAAAATTAACAACTGATTTAATATGTAGTTAATGCAGAGTTAAATATTCATTTTGGTTTTTCAATGCAAAATAAAATATAAGTTCTAAAATGTATTCTATATTTAAAAATATTTTCTTCTGTATATAAGTTTCCAGACATAGAAAATCCGCCCCTAGAAGTCTTCAACGGCCACTGGGGAGTGGGGCCATTGTACCCACTTTGGGAACCTATGACTTACCCCTAAAAAATTTTTTTGAAAGGAATTAGCTTTTTTATTCGAACATACTCAGAATGTTACCAAACACTAGAAACAAATACATTCTTGAATTCTAAACCTTATCAACCTACCATTCAATGTTATACCAATCAAGCATGGTGTTAAGCATTATTTTTGCGTCGAAATTCCCACTGTAGGTCGGTACAGTAACAGTTCTTTTCTCTTCACATTTTAATCTGTTCGGGAAAAAAATAAAAACTATAACTTCACTCATTTATGAAAAATATATTATCGACTGAAATTGCTGTTCGTAAATTCAACCGAATGAATCAGAACTTAAAGCAATTCTCTTTCAGCAACCTCTGACTAAGCTTTAAACATGATCCGGTAAAAACTGTGATTACGAGTTCAACCATTTATAACAAATGCCACTTCAAGAGGATTATCGGGACCATTAAAGATCTGATAGCGAGTGCTCAGGGTTCAACTATGGGTTCAGCTTAGTACTTAAATGTTTATGTTGTTGCTCGTCATAGATGAAGTAATGTTTCGTCTTATTTTATCATTATTCACAACAAAGTAAAAACAGTTTCAGATTACTACAAAAAAACTGAGGGAAACATATATAAAATTTTATCGCCTCCTCTACTCAAGAATATGAGCGAAAGGAAATGTGAGACCGATAACACTTTTAGTGCTGTTTCATACTTAATAAATTTTAAGTTGCGATGAAGTGTCACTACGCAATGAAGTGTAATTTAAAGAAGTCATAATATTAGAGTATTTTATGAGTAGGAAATTGAAGTACAGGAACAACGCGTAAAGAAGCAAACTTAAACTTACAAGCTGCGGTTATTAATTTCGAAGATTGGTCCTGTCAGTATTATATGAATTATATTGTTACTTAATACTTTTTATTTTTTTTCTCCTTATTACAATTTTAATTAAATAATTTCATAGGAAGAACGGAAATGTTAAAAAAAAATATGGATAATTTATTGAATATAAATTTAATTAAGAGTTTCGAAAACCTTAACTGATTACATGTATAAAATATTCTAACTCACGGAACCTCAGCTCTAGATAAACAAAACTTGTTCTAGACGGAATTAAATTTTTGACCATCGAAATTCGGGAGTTGCCTTAATTTCGAAAGAACGGCGGCGTTGCAGTATGAAGCGCTGACAGCGAATTGCAACATGAAGCAATGCACTACAGTGCATAGTATTTCAAGAACTAAATTGAAATACGATCCATTGCGAATTCCAACATGCAGCAATGCATTACAGTGCACAGTATTTCAAGTGCTAAATTGAATTATGATCAATTTCTTTTTCCTGTGTATATTTATATCTTTTCTACTTTATTGTCCCGCAGTGGACTGATCGTAAAGACACGGTTCCCAGTAAAACACCGAAATCGAGCATCACCGGCTGCGGTCAGTAAGCGGGTGGGTGACCACTTTGATCAACCTGCGTAGGGACCGAAGGTGCGCTGTATCTGTCCTCGTTAAACTGTTCTACCGTAAAGTGCTCGATTTCGATCGCAGTTCGTTGGACTACCAAAGCAGGGTAGCCATCCCCTCTGCAGAGGATCAAAATTGCGGTGGCATGTCTTTGGATCCTCCTCAGACCGTCACCAATAGTCCATTGTCCTCCAATAGTCCAGCAGCTGCAGTGCGACGTTAATAAAGTAACTACCAACCTGCTACTTTATCAGTAAGATACTTGAAATGCTCCACTCTCAGTTAGAAGATCGTGAGTTCGGTCATAGAGCGTGTATACATGGTGGGGTGCTAATTAAGTAACTGCTGTGGCTGAATTTCTCCCGATCTTACCGTTTCGGGTATCGACTATATCGTCTAACTGGGATCAAAGCTATGTGATGAATTACTTAGTTATTCATACACATATGCAAGCTTCTGTGCTCAATACGAAGAAAGGTTTGTAAGCCCTTGTAAAACTGAAAAACAGATATAACAAATAAGAGGACAACACAAAAATACATCCAGAGTTACGGGAGGAATACGAACCCGTTACCACCGCTCTTCAAAGCGTTTGGCGAAAGGATAATACCTCAATTTCCGGGTATATGAAGAAATGCCAGATATAAGCAGCCGAAGTGCATAAAATAAACAAAAGGTACAATTTTTTTTTAAACTATCATCACACAAGTTGGCATTTGTATGTGCAACAATAAATAAATAAACAACTTTCACGGTGATTTTTTTTTTTAAAAAAGAGACTCTTTATACTTAGTGCGAAGTATTTGAAAAAGATGCATTAGTTGAAGGAGCTGATGTCTTGGAGGTAATATAATTGTGTCACCTTTATTTTGTCAACTGCTTGATAATTACTTTTTTTTTCAGTTATTAAATTCTATTCTTAATTTTCTTTTAAACTATTTGTAGGTTGACGATTCTAAAAATAGTAGTGGTAAAAAACGCAGGTGAAAATGCGTTGTGTCATATGAAAAGCTAGTAAAAAATTTATGAAGTATTAGATTATGAATCATTGAATTCAAATAACGGTTAAGATTTTTAATAACCTTAGCAGCAGAAACCCTCCAGCATGTCAACAAGTGCTGCAGATTATCCCAGCATCGTCAGATAATTCTTCGTCTCAGATTTTTTTCCGCTTTGGAATGACAAGGCTAAAACAATGATGAGAGAGAGGAAATAGAAAAATCATTTTTAATTTCTTAAACCAATTCGATAAGTACTTGCTTCAGATCCATAATAAAATTTGTTTGCCAATATGCCGATATATAGGCAAACGAAAACTAATTTTTTACAAAAATTCCAAATTTTCTTTCATTTACTGGAATTTTGAAATATAAAGAATTTTTAAAAGGAATCAAAAATTTAAAAGAACTAATTTGAAAATTTCCGAATACTCTTGTTGCTTGTTTATAGTCTGTTCAAAGATTTTTTTTTTCAAGTTTCTATTCATTCATTAAATTAAAAAATGCTAAGCAAATTTAACAAAGTTTTATATAAAAATTTTGTACATAGTTTGTAACTACACTGAAAAGCCAAAAAAAAACTGGTATCTAAATTCAGAAGAGTGCCACTGGCCACCAAAATCCCCAGACATGAACATTATTGAACACATTTGGGATGTCTTGCAACGTGATTTTCAGAAGATATCCCCACCCCCTCTTACTCCCACTGGTTTATGGACAGCCCTGCAGGATTCATGGGGTCAATTATCTCCTGCAGTACTTCACACATTGATGGAATCCATGCCACGTCGTGTTGAGGCACTTCTGCGTGCTCGCGGGGGCCCTACACGATATTAGGCAGTTATACCAGTTTTTTTTGGCTCTTCAGTGTATCTTATAATGCAAAAATTTTACAATGCACCAACGAAAAAAAAATGGAATACTCTGACTAACTTTTGATCTACTGATCTAATTTTATAGTTCTAGAATTCCATCTTAATGGTTTGAAGGGGTGACCTCAAATTAATTGGTGCAGACGATATTTTAAGTTACAAAATCAGACAAAAAAAAAACGTACTTTCCCTGAATAAACGTACCCTTTTTAGCGGATTCGAAATTTGATTCCCAAAATATAGGGGGGTAGCCACAATCTGGGAGATATGGTTCCCATTGTTTGGTCAGTAGAGCGCTCCAAAGACCGCTTAATGTTAATTTTACTTTTT